CATTTTTGAAGCGGCTATGACTTGCTTTTTGACGTTCGTGGGTAACCGACAAGGCTGCGACACCGTCGCCGCGCCGGGCTTCACTCTCGGCGCCTTGCTCGTAGCCTCGGGTGTGGTTTTGACTTTCTGTCGATTAACAGCCGTGGTCCAATCAGGAGATTGAAGTTCCTCAAAGGAAACATCCTCTCCGTCTCCCGAAACTTGCATAGACATGGCGCAAGTGGTTACACAACGGCGAATTGCGGGAATGCACCGTGCGTCCCGCAGCTGTCGCGAATACCTGCGCTCAATTGGCGCGAACGCCAGGGCTTAGCTCGGTGCCTGCTCGACGCTGGCAGTCAAGTCGTCCCAAAATGATGAAAAAGGGCGCCTACATCAAAAACTGGTTGCCACGGGCTCTTGTTGCTCAGGCGGATACGATGATCGTGAAAGCTCAATGGTGGTGTCCAAAAAACGCTGCAGAACACTGAAAACGACGGAGAAATAGGAACGCGTCCGCACACCTCGGCGACCGCAGCCCTCTTTCTTACAAAGATGGCGAAAATAATTCTGTCGCTGCAAAGCACGAGTCAAATTTTTCATGACGCTGGATTTACCAAGAGGAGGAGAAAGCAACAAAAGGGAAAAGGCAGGGAGGTTAACCAGAAAGACATCCGGTTGGCTACCCTACACTGGGGGATTAGGAAAGGGACAAGAAAGACGAGAAAGAGGGAAGAGAGGGAAAAGAAAAAAGGCGGGGGAGAGACTGACAGTAATTTCACTGCAGCGTGTAGAACTCTACCACATGTCAGAGGCGTTCACACAAGCCTGTCTTTTTTAGGAAACACAGCAGGGCTTTCACTGCCTTGTGGCTGTCGAGGCATGTTGACGTTGCTGCAATAGCACCTGCACAGAAAGAGGCTGATCATCCAGTCGCCGCATTGCGTTGGCAAGTGCTTGTCTCTCTGAGGCAAATCGAGGACAATGGCACAGCAAGTGTTTGATATTTTCGTTGGTGCCGCAAACATCGCACGCCACACTGTCAGTAATTCTGATTAACGTAGTATAAGGTTTCGTGAAAGCACTTCCAGCCAAAGGCAATAGAAAAGCGAAGCTGCACGTCGATGTAGGCCGGGTGGAGGCCGGAGTTGTAGTGAAGGGTCGAGCTCGTGCAGTTTTGTACGTCGTGTGCTCGGTGTGTTCCACTCAGTCAGTGTGAGACTGCGGGTCAGTTGATGAATCTGCCTCGCCACATCCGCTCTTGAAAACGGAATCGGAATGCTGTTCGCTTCTTTATGTGACGTGCGAGCAGCATGATCCGCAGAATCATTGCCGCCTATACCACAATGCCCAGGTAACCACTGAAAGACGATGTCATAGCCGTTTTGTATTCAAAGGTGGTGAAGTTTCACGGTTTGGTAGGTCAACTGGTCGCGGCATCCGTGTCGGAGAACTGATATGAGGCACTGTAACGCTGGTTTTGAGTCAGAAAACACAGCCCATTTACCTGGTCTTTCTTCTGAATTGATAAGTTCCAGTGCATTGCGCAGAGCCTCGAGTTTTACCGTCCCAAATTGTTTATTAAGTGGATGGTGGTACCATGAATCAAGGAACTATGAATCACGAGCGCGAAGACCGGCTATTGGACAGTTTAGGCGATTCAACTCATACGTGGTTGGCGTATGTTACTTTAACGACGGTAACTTGCACTAAGAAGAATTAAAAATAGATGTAAATAAATTCACCATATTCAACTTTACAGCCACTGAGCTCTGGTGAGCCATATTTTGTGTATACTGATGGGATGCCAAGAAAAAAATATTTTGTAGTATTGCGGTTATAGTATCTACAAATAAACAAGAAAGAAAAACATCTGCCGGCAAGAAAAAATTCAGAGATAAAAGAGTTAATAAGTTGTAGCACGCCAAAACTCACAGTATGCTTATATAATATGGAATTCACTTAGTCAAACGCTAGTTCATGAGCTAAATTAGATACACTGAATGACAGCCAGATCTTTTTATGAACGCGCCCGAAATTCGTTACCCTAGGCTAAACGATTTCTGTAATCTTGTTTTTCTCTCTCTAATCCGTCCAAATAATGACAGGAACAAGTTCAATATTGGTACATTTGGCGAGTGTGAATCAGCTAAAGTTCCAGTAGCATTTTTATTTGATTTACAGCGTATTGTGTAGCGTTCTTTCTCACGCCTAGGTCAGCCCGTTAGTGCCCACAGTATTTTATTCAATCAATAAATAAAAAAACCAAGAAAGAAGATACCCAAACCTAACCATACTGAGAACTAACTACTCGCAATAGCTTAGGACCTGGAGAAAAATCTGTGTATCAATGAAAAAGCATGGCAGCCTGTGCGGAAGGTGCACCACAGTCACAGTGAAAGCTAGAAGAGCGGTATTTGCTGCTTGCTTGCTTGCTTGCTTACTTGCTTGGTCCTTTCTTTTGTAGCTCTCAGCACTAAGGGGGATTGGCCAAGAAGCCGGTGGGTAATGCAAGTCAATACATTTAGGTTATCCAGGCTAGGAAATAGGATTACTTTGTTTTGACTGTGTGGGATTTATTTGGCACAATGTCAAAAAAGGAAAAGGAAGAAAAATAATATATTTCGTTGAATACATGAGGTGTAATCGTTATATGAAATTCTTCTGAAGTTTAAATCATTACAGAGTAGTAGCTAAATAATAAATGTTAGATTGGCTAGTAAAAACCAAGAGATGATCAAGAGTTCAGCAAGGACATAGGAATTTGCAGGGGGCCCCGCAGATGTTCCCGTCACTGTGTCTTAATAAAGCAGCCCCAAAAGACAATATATTAGGAGTAGTAGGTGATATTCCTAGTTTTTTAAAGAAAGTCTCGAAACAACTTTTTTTTAATTTTAAAACAGTGAAATGTGAGAAGAAAGTGGTTGATATATTTCGGTTAATTACAGCTTGAGCACAGATGGGGTGGCACCAGACCAGACCTGTTTAAGTAGAAATCAAAAGTTGGTACACGGCTACCTAATTTTGTTATATAGCCTTCCAATTTTCGCGTGAGAAACCATTTATTATTCCATGCGAAATACAGGGCGAGAAATCTGGATTTGGTATTGTAATTTTTATGAGTCTTCAAGACGGACAAGTTTTCTGCTGTTACAGAAGCTGTAAGAGGCATGATTGGCACAATCGGAAGATCAAGGGATGCTCGCGCGAGTGAGTCAGCCATCTCACTTCTAAGTATACTACGATGGACTGGCACCCATATCATTCACACTAGACAAATGCTTGCTGGAATTAATTATTTTAAAATTTATAGTACTGCTGAGGCTGACGACGATGATAAAAATGAACGCACGGAATGCGAGTCGGTCACTATCACAACTGTCGAATGAGTCGCAGGAAGTTTACAAAGAGCTTGTATAACGACAGACCAGCCTTTGAAAACCTTTTCAAAACACTCATTGGTTAACTGGTGCAAGCATATATGCTTGATAGCCAGTACGCATCAATAATAAACGTTTTAGCTTAGTACGCCGGCTATCGCTATGCTATTTTTCGCCATTTTTCTGAGAAGCGTGGTATCCGCTAAACACTTGCAAGGAGTTTTGTGCCAACTGTTCATGCAGTGGCTGACGATGATGAGGAATCATGCTTGAAGTGGGTATTCGCCACAGGTAATTGGTGAACAAGAACAAGATTTTAATGTGTTGGAGCATTGGACGACCTTATCGTTACACTATTCGCATCGTGCGAAGACTGGTTGTTCTTTACCTTTTTTAATGCTTTATAGCTCGTATTAGCGCAATTGCTTTCGCGACATCAACTCTGCCTGAGGTAAGTCTTCCAACAAGTCCCAATCACCGGCACGGCTTAGTTGTCGAAAACAGATGGTGAAGAAGAATCCATCCTATTTTCGAGGACTGATGCTGCAATGAAAATTCGAAAAATCGCTAATGTGTAAGTAAAATCCCAATGGAACGCTGAGTGCAAATGTGACTGCATAAGCTGGACCTGTCTCGTCGACTTCGGCCTCCGTCCAGACTATCTCGTCTTGAGACAACGGTGCTTTGCCAACTGTGGCTTGGTGTTGCTTTCACCAAAGCTTTCGACTTCCGAAGCAGCATGGAGGACAGTGCTGCTTGCGACCATTGCGGCAGCGATCAAATGATAGAGCATGTTCTCTGTCACTGCCCTCGTTACAGCTTGCCAAGACAGCAGCTAGCTACTGCGTTAGCTGGTCTTGACGAGAGACCCTTGTCAGAACAGTCAGTGCTTGAAAAGCGACATAATCTGTCTTCGCACAAAAAATCAGTGAACACCTTAATGAATTTTTTGCGTGGTAGTGGCTATCAAATAGCCTATAGTCCCCTAGCTGACTTTTCTTTTCTTTTCCGCGCATCTTTTTCACCCATCGCTTTCTTTTCTATTTTTATTCCGCATTCTCCCTTCCCTCAGTGCCGGGTAGCAAATCGGAAGCTTGACCTCCTGGTTAAAGTCCCTTCTTTTCCCTCATTTTAATCTCTCTCTCTACTGGGCTGGCAGCCAGCAGACCCGGATTTGAGCCCCATTGTGTCATTAGTACTATTTTTTTATTTTGTGTGACAGTGGTTGCAGACACCGGTGGTGGTGGTGGCGGCGGACGATTACGCCGCTGCGCGAGACCCTATTGGTGATTCCATAACAGCTTAGCGCTGTGAAAACTAGGAGCAACCTAGGTCGAACACCAGCTCCACTGTTGGTTGCAGCATTGTTTCACTACTGCAAGCTGCGCTTTTTTCTACGTTCGTTTAGATATGTTGTGACTTGAAAAGTAGTTTATGTTTTTTATTTGGCCTTTTTTCCAACCCCTCTGAAATTGTGCAAAGCCTTGGAGGTACATTCACGTTCGTTTGTTTTTTTAAACCTCTGCCCTTCATTTTTTTCATAAGAAAAACTTACAAACAAGATATTTTGTGAACACGCTCATTACAAAAATCAATCGGAGAATGTCACCGTCGATTAAAAAACTAAGACGGCAATCTCACCATTGTCCACTAAGAGCTTTGTAGTGTCGATAGATGTTCCCTTGGTGAAACGCAGCGTGGCATTTTTCCTGAAAGCACAAGCAAACGCACACAATGCATATTGGTGATTTGCAACTTTCATCACCTATATAATGTCACCATTATTAGGGTTCAATATATGTTGTAGCGGTTCAGTAAACAACCTGGCTGACACTGCACCGCTCATAGTGTTTCTCTGTTGTTACATAAATTTAGAGAGTGCGATTAGAGTCCTGAAATACCTTTACAGGTAATGAAGCTCCACTCTAACTTTAATTGAGAGCATTGTGCGCTGCAAGCGGGGGCCGCCGGGCAACGCTGCCTTGTTGCTGCGGGTCGCAGTGAGCCTCATGCACACGGCAGCAGACGCCCGTCGCTCACTGCCAAATATCCTGGCATGTCGCCGAGCACTTGTAAATGTATATCTGGTATTGTGGCTAGTGTGCTGCACTTGTAGATCAGAAAACACGCCGCGTTTGTTCTTTCTAACTTCGTGTCGATCAGGCTGCAAGGATAATGACAAAACGTGTCTACGTTCTGATTGCCTGAAGACCATGAACAGCGGGAAAAGTGGAAGACCATTATAGCACCCATAGGCGTATCAGCCGGGAGTGGGGGGCTCCCTCCACTAAGAAATGTTGGGGGGCCTAGGCCCCCCCTTCAATATTGACTGTGGTCACTGTCGGCTGCACGCTGGTAAAACAAAAACCACGGCAAAGTTTTTTTTTCACCACAGTAATTACTCCTTGGTAAAGATAGTAACTAGTTTTCTAAATTTCTGCTGCGACGATTGCCCTTTAATGTTCCTTGCAGTGTGGGTAGCCCATGCGACTTTTTCGCGCCTCAAACCGCATCATTGCAAAGCAGGTTACAGTACAAGGCGCTTTCGCGCCTTGTACTGGCTTTGTTATGGGTGGAAACTAACAATCGTTTGATAGATCAGTCAGAGCATTCAGAAAAATTGTTTGCATTCATCAGAAATTAATAGCGTCATCGCTGCTTTATCGGGAGCTGCTGTGAGCCTATGATTGTGAGCAATATCTTTAAATGCTTAATATACGCCACACTAGAAGCGTCACAAAAGGTTTGTGCTATAGTCTCTGATAAATCTAATCAGCCTTGCTTTCGGCGACTAGGAGCAATGGCAGGAGTTTTCAAAGTGGCGACAAATAAAGCATTGCCCTCGAGTACTGTGGAATTCTCAGTTTGCTAGCTTACCGCGCAGTTTGGCCCACCAGACGGGGAGAATGTAAAAGACTACTTTTTTTCGCGTTGAAGTCTTATTTGTGAGTAGGACTGGTTAGTTTGTATTCAACTAACTCGTTAGCCCGTTGGCACGTGTACAAATCTGTCCTTTCCGAATACAGAGCAGCTATCAAGGAAGCCAAGCGCGTTTTTCTTAATAATACCCTTTCCTCAATTTTTGTAACAACCCCTTCTAAGTTTTGGAAAACTGTTAAACCTAGGGAAAAGAAAAACATTTCGCTTACGAACTCAGACGGGCAGCCAGTTCGCTGTGAAGAGTGTTGCATTGCATTAAATGATTTTTTTGTTACTTCTTTTTCAAGTTGTTCTGCTTCTGCGTTGCCGCAAATGCCTAGTCGTGATTTTTTACCCATGTATCCTGTTACCGTTGATGCCGTTGGAGTGCAAAATTTAATTCACAAGCTTAAGTTATCCTCTTCTTGTGGCGTAGATGAAATCAACTCAAAGTTTCTAAAAAAACACTGCATTGTATTCATCAATTTACTTGTCCTTAATCTTTTCGCAATCTATTCAGACTTCCACTTTGCCGCTTGACTGGAAGGTGGGGAAGGTGGTCCCTCTGCACAAATCTGGTAACACACAGTCTCCTCTCAATTACAGACCAATTTCCCTAACCAGTGTTCCTTGTAAAATGTTAGAACATATAATTTACTCCAACCTTGTCTCATTCCTAGAATCAATTCTTTTTTACTCCCTACCAGCACGGATTCCGAAAAAGTTACTCATGTGAAACCCAACTTCTTTATTTACTAATGACATAGCATCGGCTTTAGATCGCGGCTCACTTGTGCATTGCATTTTTCTTGACTTTCAAAAAGCTTTCGATGAAGTACCTCACCAATTACTCCTCCTGAAAATTAGTGCTTCAAACATTGATCCGAACATTCTTAAATGGATTGAATGCTTTCTGACTAATCGCACTCAGTTTGTAACAACTAATGGCAACAACTCACCTCTTTCTAAAGTAACATCCGGCGTACCCCAAGGTTCCGTATTAGGCCCTTTACTCTTTCTTATATATATCAATGATCTCCCAGACAGCATTAACTCCTCTATAAGGTTATTTGCAGATGATTGTGTAATTTACCGCGAAATAAACAATGAATATGATAACCAATTTCTACAGTCAGACCTTGACACTGTCTCAACCTGGTGCAATAAATGGCTTATGACTCTCAACTCTAACAAATCTAAATGCATGTCAATAACCGGGCGATCCATTTCTCCCCCCTGTACCTACAGAATTAACGCCGTTCCCCTCCAGCATGTCTCTTCATATAAGTACCTCGGCGTTTACATTACCAACAATCTATCTTGGCACACGCATGTTACCTACATCTGTAATAACGCTAACCGAACGCTAGGATACTTACGCCGCAACTTTCCTCGCGCTCCGCTGTCCCTCAAAATTCTATTATACCGATCACTAATTCGCCCAAAGCTTGAGTACGCGTCCGCTATATGGGATCCCGTGCAGCAAAATTTAATTAACGCGTTAGAATCTGTTCAGAACCGCTCAGTTCGGTTCATTTGTTCTAATTATTCCGTACTCCTAGCATATCAGAAATGAAATCTAACCTTGACCTACCCAATTTAACTGTCCGGAGGAAACTGGCGCGACTGCATTTTTTTCATAAGATATTTTTTCACAATCCATCAATGAAGCGAGACCTCATTTCACAACCGTCACACCACTCATCGCGCATTGATCATCAGCATAAGGTTGCCATTCCGTTTTGCCGCACCAAATTCTTTTCAGCAGCCTTCTTACCGAAAACAGCCGCCGATTGGAACCACCTTCCCTCTTCCGTTGTACCAATAACAGACCCTTTGTTATTCAAGACTGCAATTTCTCAGCAATGCTTGTAACTATACGCAGTTTCCATTATCTATCTTTGTCTTGTATGTGCTTGAATTCTTATACATTTTTAGTTGACTTCTGTTGCCTTCCTTGTTTGCGCATCTGATACTTGTTTCTTTATTTTGTCTTTTTTTCTTGTGTGTTATATATGTTGTACCCACCCCCTCTGTAATGCCCTACGGGCCCTGAGGTTATTCTAATAAATAAATAAATAAATAAACTAGAACTGCCTTTTACAGCTATAAATACAACTACTACAAAAAAGCAGCACACCCGCGCAGTGCTGTTTAATTTTCTTTCTCTCAGCAAGCATGAGCTGACAGAGATGTGAACGCGCATACGAACTCTAAAACGTTTTCCAGCGTAGCTGCTCAGTTACCACGAAAAAAGGTCTTTGCTCCTCCAAAAGATGAAATTTGCGCAAAAGTATGCACATGGCGCCGCAAGGAGGGACAGTTTTTTCCTTGTCGAGTAAAGCACCTGTTCTCTGAGGTAACTGCAGGGATGTTCGCCTCATGTGAAAATGACTCATCGGTGCCTATACAAGCCTGTTTCATTCCAGACGGTTTGGTAGCGTAGTGTGGTGTGGTGGTTAGTTTATTAATGATATTTGGGGTTCAACATCCTAAAACCACCATATAAATATGAGAGACGCGTTAGTAGAAAGCTCCAGAAAGTTCAACCACCTGCGGTTCTTTTTAAACGTTACCCGAATCTCATCACCCGAGCCTACAGCATTGTCAGGTCCGTTGAAAAGCTCCATGAAAAAGCACACACACACGCACACACAAACACAAACACACACACACACACACACACACACATACGCACACACACACACACACACACACACACACACACACACACACACACACACACACACACACATATATATATATATATATATATATATATATATATACCTCACCCCCCAATAATTCATGCCGATCTTGTTTAGAATCACGATGTCTTGTATGTAAGAAACGCGAGAAACACACAAAGCAACCATCACATAATCCAAGTTTCGATTAACATACGAGGAAACCTAACATGCGATTCCTCTAATGTGGTATACCTACTCAAATGCAACATGTGTAGTATGCAGTACATCGGACAAACAGTAACACTATTTCGGATTTGCTTCAATAATCACAGAGCCCATGCGAAATCAGCCCAAAGTCTACCACTTTCAAAACATCTTCATCTTCCTGACCATGCATTCGACAAACTATCAGTAACGCTCTTAGAGACGGGATTTAAATTAAACCGAAAACGTGAACAACGAGAGTCATACGTTATCCACCGATTTAACACCTGCGATAGAGGAATAAATGAGAATCCTGGTACACTTGCAGCAATTAAAGCATTAGAAAACAATAACGGCAAGACGAGAACAAGAAGAACGGCGGCTGTTTGAGAATTTATCCGTGCACCAACAAGCCAAGCTGGTGCGCCTTATCGAAATTTTCATCACGTCATTGGGGCTGGCGCCACATGAAAGCACGATATTTCGTTACCTTGAGTACTGCGCGAATAAGCCTGTTTTTCTTTCTCTAGTTGTTTTTAAATGCGAAGCATTTTTAAGCGAACTTCAGCAACTTTGAGCGTATCTATCTATCTATCTATCTATCTATCTATCTATCTATCTATCTATCTATCTATCTATCTATCTACCTATCTAGCCACTTATGACTTCTATATCTTTTAGATGCATAACAACGACATAGGGAAGTGTCGCGCACGATCAATACACTTCATCATGACCAGCCACGCATGCGTGCCATTGTTTGTTTCTTCACGTAACGCCGGTGATTCTACGCCAGACGCCGCTAGGCCTGCTTAATACTAGCAGGCGCGCGCCGCACTGCATTGCTTTCACGCATGCGCGTTCGACCGCGCACGGCGTCTGTCAGTCACAAAGAG